ACACGCACAAAGGAATCTCCCACCACTATATTTAGGAAGCAGTGTTTGTGTCTAGCTTCATACAAACTGGCTTTCTAATGGTTCTACGGGAAGATTTCATAACTAATGCCCCCAAATTTGCCCCTTAAAAAATGGACACCCACATTTCGGAGGCTTGGGATAGGTGTCGAACATGTTCAAGCAGCCTTCGGAAGGGAAACACTGTTTTGGTTTTGGTTTTTTGTTTCGTTTTTGAGGCAAGGTCTTGCCTTGAACTCTTGATGCTCCTGCCTCAGCCTGCCCACTGCCTAGCTCCTCAAAGTGGCCTTTGGACACAAGTTACCGTCTTGCTGGCCCACTCACTCCTCAGTTCATCCATCTTTGACATGAACAGAGATGCTGCGTGTTTAAACGTTCTTAAAATTCTGTTTCTTGCTGGATCTAAAAGTTAGTGTTTCTTCCTCCAAAATGGCACTCCTGTGCTGCAACCCACACCACACAGTCAGGCTTTATCCAGCCACTGAAAGCGTACATTAGTGCCATGGCTAGTCAGCTGTACCCCCAGAGAACTGAAGGGCAAAGGGGCTCCCCCTAACTGAGCTGACATTTCTACTGTTGGAATCATGGATCTTACCTTGCTCTATCACGCTGAACTTCAGAAGACTATGTGGAGCCTCTGAGAAAGCTACCACCCAACAAGGAAGAGGTTTTGAACCCTATGCCTCATGCCACCACTCCTGACTGGACTGATGGCATTTGCAAATCACACTGCTTTAAGATGTTGAAACGCTGAGGGAGAGGCATAAATCCTGGCTGGGCTATTTTTTCTCTGGGTTAAGTTAATGATCCTCAAGGGAGCAAACTTGTATCCTGGCTGACACGCCTCAAGAAATGAACCACTCCAATTCACCCCAGAACCGACACAAGGAAGCAAAGAGTTTGATGGAGTCGGAAGAAAGTCTTTGTTTTCCCTGTTTAACAACAGGTCCTGGCCAGCTTTCCACACTTTCTTGAGAAAACCATCCATTCATGTCATTTGGTCTGCTCTCTTTAAAACCCCTCGACGCCCAGAAAACAGCTTTCAAAGCATCCAGAACAGAAGGCACGTTGGGAAGACAACCTTGGTATGGCCTTCCTGGTAGCTTTATAGTCAGTGTTTAGCCAGGGAAGAACTAGTCACAGTCCCAAGGACCCTTGTCCCCATGACAAGGAGTGGACCCTGGGCAGAGTTTCAATCCTGAGTATTCAATGTCTACTTCAGATGGCAGAATTTGCACTGGGCATGGGGACTCTGTCCTCAGTGAGAACATAGGACAGATTTAAACACCTACCATTTAGGGTAGAAAGTAACTCGTGGTCCATAATTAAGATTCTCATTATACGACAGTTCATATGCATTGGGTACTCGGTAGAGAGACTGACACCTGTCTTCAGAACGGACTAATTATGCGCTTGTTGGATACATTTATTCAGCACCTGCTGTGAACTAGGATGTATGTCAGATATTTTCCCATCACACAATCTTCTCACAGATATTCTCTGATCCCATTTTTTAAATATTCTTGTCGCAATCATTTATGGCAGAGGAGGCGTATGCCACAGCACACATGGAAGTCAGAAGACAACTATGGTAGTCAGATCTCTCCTTCTGCCATGTGAACCTGCACTTTTAACAGAAAAGGAACACGAGACATAGGGGTGCTAGATGATGTCCCCAGGGTCACCCCAATGATGAAAGGCAGTGGTAGGACTCAAAGGCAGAGTTGTCTGGGGAGAGCAACCATGCTGTGACCTCATTTCATGGATGATTAGCTCTGGGTGGCAGCACCTTCCTTCCATGGAGTTGTAACTAATTCTCTGCCATATCATAGAGTCTCCTAGGACACAGGCTGGCAAGTAGTAAGACAACCACTGCCCGTCTAGGACTCTTAAAGCCACGTCTTGTAGAACTGATGCTGGCATTTGTCACTGGCGTCCCTTAATGTCCTCTAGCGGAAACAGGGAAGAGGGACAAAAGTGAGTCTCAAAGACAGAGACACAATGTCACGGCCACCCTCGACCCGCAAGGATGATGCGACACCCGGAGCTCTTCTCACTGCAGTTTTATTCAGGACTTTATTCACAGCAATCTTTCTCTCTCTCTCTCTCTCTCTCTCTCTCTCTCTCTCTCTCTCTCTCGGTAAATCTCTCCCAGCCCTTAAAAAGGCACAGGCTGCCAAACCCGGATTGCCAGGTGGGCACTGCCCATAGGTTCACGCATATGCAGGCAGCTGATAATCATTGCGTGATCACTGATTATCATAGAGAGCACTCGCTTTCGGGATTGCGGAGGGCGGGAGCCAGCACCCTCAGGTGCGCTCCACGCAGCTCTCTACAACACAAGCTCTAAGTCCTGCTTTTAGCTGGGCTCGCAGAGCTACTGACGGCAACCTGAAAACTCACCCAGTTTCCACGCCAACAGCGGTATCCTCCCCTATCCTGTACCACCATTTGGCTTTAACCCAGGGAAATTCTCTTCATTCTTTTTCTTTCCATTTCCTCAGCCAAAGGACTTTTGAGAGTGTGAAAAAGCCTTCAGAATAAAGGCTGAGTAAGGGAGCCACAACAGCCTGGGAAAACTCAGCGCCATCGTTGCAGACTCGGCTTAGACATCTCCCCCAGGAAATCTCCTCTGACCAAATGCTAGCAGACCGTGCAAAAGCATGCCCACTAAGCCATGCTCCCAGCCCTCTGTGTTACCCAGGCATAAGTACGCTACACTGAACATAGTTATGCCTTTCACTTGCTCTGAGCAGGTGGGTCTGCATCTGGCCTGTCTGTTTCCAATTCTGAGCTCAGTCCAGGAAGCCTGCAGATCACTGGAGAAGAGAAAGGCAAGAAGAGGGGAGAAGATCCTGTGTAGACTCTCGGCTCCTGGCTCAGTCTTCCTTGCTCACAATTGTCTTGGATCTGGTGAAGCATCCTGGAGTCCCAGCTGCCAAGGAGAAAAGGATGCGGCCTCTGAAGGAAAGGGGGCTACAGGGGAGGGCTGTTCTCTAAGAAAAGGGGGGCAATGAAAGCTGGGCCTGCAGGGCTCCAGTGACAAAGGTCACAGGCACTGCTTAGGAGTGTTTGCAGTGTTCAGTGTGGCCTCTGAGATGGCTCAGCTCCTATGACTTGCCCCCTATTAGCCCTGGGCCTGTGGGTCATGGAGCAGTGCACAAGATCTCATGAACAGCAGCCCTGACCTCCATATACCCGGCTCACCCGTGGCAGGAAATTCCATGTTGTAATAGCTGGATTTCTTCCATTCATTCTTGATCCGTGACTAGGTAACCAATTGGTCATTAAAGAAACCATTTAGGAACCTCAGTCTAGGCTGTCTTCTGCTAATGGGCACAAAGAAGGAAGTAAAACGGGACAAAGGGCTCTGGGCACCCCCATTTCCATTGCTAGCCTGACTTAGGGACAGAAGTGAAAATATTTAAGTGCCCCCACCCCTGCCTGTCAGTGTTAACCATGAGGATTTCGTAGAGCTGGTTTTGGCGTTGAAAAACACACACTTAGAAGCACATCTGGCTGCAGTCATGTTCTGATACTGAACACATGTGAATGTGAGTAGATTAGAAACACAGTCCCCGGTGTCTGGGGAGACTCTGCCTTTTCAAACAAGTGCTTTGCAAAGAGCGGCATTAGGAAATGTTCTCACACACACGAGGCCCATCGACCTGAAAATAAATCAAAGTAAAAATGGGCACCGAGTCAGTCACCCTGAGCAGCTGGCTAGGGAAAGAGGCTGACACATTAGCCACCATCTAGTCACCCTTCATTTCCTGTGCAGCTGATGGCAGAGGGGATCAAGCCTACTTTTACTTTGTCACTGCCTGTTTTTTAATCAGCTTGGGGGGACGGGTGTTGCTATACGCAGGCTTCCCTAGTTCCCAGCAGAGATTTGGATTTTCTGGACGTTTCACCTTGCTCTTCCCACTCGCCAAAAGAACCATATCCCTCCTGCGTGCAATTTGGTCCCTCTCGGGTGAGCAGCAACTTGAGACTTGATGTCATTCCCAGACATGTGCGGAGCGGCTGGTATTTCCACATCACTCCTCACTTTGGGCACAATTGCTTGGCAAGGCCTCAAGCCTGCTGGGCAAATCTAACCCTGTCGGTATGTGAAGTCACATACCTAAAGGCGCAGGCCCAGGCAGCACCTGGATTTTATTAATATCTCAAAGTTGGATTAACAACAGATTTCATGTGTGTGTGTGTGTGTGTGTGTGTGTGTGTGTGTGTGTGTGTGTAGTATATGGTCAGGTGCATATGCACGTACGTACATGTGTGTGCAGGTACCCATGTGTGGAGCAGAGGTCAGAGGTTGGTGTCTGATGTCTTCCTTAGTGACTCTCTCCAGTCTCTTTGGAGACAAGGTCTCTTACTGAAGTTAGTGCTCACCAACTGGCTCTACTGACTGGCCAGTGAGGTCCAGTGCCTATCTCTGTCCCTTCCCTGTACCCATGTACAGATGCTCACTTAAGTACCTGTGAGGCCAGGTACAGATGCCTGGCCATTTTGCATGGGTTCTGGAGACCCCAAGTCAAGTCTCCATGTTTGCACAGTGGGCGCCTTACCCACGGAGCCATTTCCTAGGCCCAAAGAACACAGGGGTTTCTAATGGCTAATTACCTGACTCTATCCTGAAAGGAAACTCACAGTAAAGATGGTGATGACATAGCTAGAGAAGGACTTAGCATCCTTTTTCTTCAGGAGCTTAGCATTGCAGCGCCCAGTAAAGGCCGACAACCTAGAGAGTACTTGAGTAACACCAAAAATATCCATCTCCATTGAGAGATTTGGAGTTGGCTCAGACCATCTGCTGTCACTGCAGCCCAAGGTTCTCTTTCATTTGGAAACTATGCTGTCAACTTGGTTTAGAACATACACCAATGAGACATATGCTCAGCCTCCCTGCCTAGAGAGATGCTGGCATGAGACAGTCTACTGATTGAAGCCTCGTTTATGAATTCTCTTCTCTTCTCTCCTAGTGACCGTGACAGTGGGAGGAAAGCAGCACTTGCTTGGACTGTACGACACCGCAGGACAGGTATGAGCTCACTGTCTCCATTCATTAAGGGTTGGGGGAAGAAAGGGGTGTAGGAAAAAGCATGGTCCATTTGGCTCATCATGCAGGAGCTAACAGCATGGGCATCTCCCATTCTCATCATTTGGGGCCCATATATACTCTACCCAAACAACAACCAAATGCACATCCTTAACTTTAAAATATTGATATATATAACTATAAAAACCTAAATTGCTGTCCAAGATACTGATGATATGACCAATACTGCGAAACCGTAAATACTCAAAACAACAAAGTAATATTTCTAGCCAAGATTTTCAATTATCTCCAACCCAACCCTGTTCCACATCCAAGATGTACAGGTTTATTTTATAAATTGTAGCTTTACCCTTTTTCCCCGTGCTATTTTCTTTGCTTATCCTTTATTTGATTTACCTTAATGAGCTATGAAAAGTCTCAAAAAGAGATTGGGGTGGGGGAATATGATGGGTTAAGGACTGAAAGGAAAACAAGGGTCTGAATGCATCCCACAGATGAAGGTCAATCCCGAACCATTGGAAAGCGACTCTGAGTTTTCTATGATTCCCCAGATACTCTGATTCTGTCACAAGTGTTTCTTTGGGCTTGAGACTCGAAGAGCATGGACTTGAACCCCAATAGTGAACCTGCACATGGCTGTCCTTGGGTGAAAATACTGGGTAACTGCCTTTTCCCCACTTCACACAGAGCTGTGGAAAACATCCAGGGTTAGAAGTTTGCCCGGTGGAGGAGGGGATGTGAAGGAGCCATGGATGGCTGTGGCCTAATTTCTTGGATAAAGCCTGTTACCATATGTCTTGAATCATTTATTTAGGTCAAAACCAGCGGGTTGTTTAGTCAGTCCAAATTTATACAGCTTAAGTCCTTTGGAGTGAATATTTGACCGTGATCTTTCCCACTGTGTGTTTCTTGGTAATTGTTAATAGCTATGCATTTGTCAAGGCCTTTTCTCACAATTATCTGGAGATATGTCATTTTGTCAACTTGAAAGCTCTCTATTAGAAAATAAATAAATGGGATCTCTTCAAGGTTTTCAGTGTGCGTGTGCAAGGGCCACCACCAAGTGTGGGGGGGGACATAAAAGCTGTCGTTTTACAGCCAGAGCAGGGGGCGGGGTAGTCTAGCATCAGACACAAGGCTCCTTTCCAGGACCCTCTGGATTCTACCGTAGCCAGGTGACTTGGAAAACCACTGTCAGTAGGGTGACCTCTTCCATCAATATCAAGAAACAGAAACATAACAAGGGAAAACATATGCCCCTAGCTATTCAAGGGGAAGAGTCACTCTGTGTCCTCTGATACAAGAGAATACAGCTCCTAGCAGAAAACATCCCAGCCAACGAGGCATATGGATTCAGGGGCTGGAACTGCCTACTCTAACTCAGTCACGTGATCAGTGGGCTGTCTCTATTGTCTGTGCATGACAACCCCCACCCCCACCCCCCCCCCCCCCGTGTGTAAGGTCCATAGACTCCAGCTTGCAAAGCTCTGTACAGAATGGGCTCTTTCACACTCGGAAACTGCTCTGTCCCCCTTGCCTCCTCAGAAAATTCTGGAAGCCCTTGCCCATTTGGCTCTCCCCCTACTTCTGTAGTGATCCACAGCAACTGTTGGTTCCTATATATAATTGCCTCAACAACAATATCCCTCGATCTCTATTTCAATCCACACCCAATAAAACTGTTTAAAAGCTCTTGTAGAGCTGAGTTATTATTTCTTACTCTATCCTTTAAAAAAAAACCACTAGGGTAATTGGAAATGATAATATATTGTGAAAATACCTTTAATATGTTGTGAAAATACCTTTAATATATTGTGAAAATACCATTAAACTTCAAATTGAAGGAGAAGGGTGACCCAAACCTCTGACACAGGGTGAGGAACGCTGTAAAATATAGTAACAAGTAGATTCACGTTATTTCTTCCACTTAATTTTCACCTTATTGCTTTCCTCCACTTATTTTGAAATCTCCGGGCAGACAAGGATCACAGGGGGAGCATGGAGATGGGAAATCAGAACACATCTGAAGGTTCTTTCTGGGCCTCAGGTTCTGTGATTAAGAACTTTAGAAGGTAATTTCAAGAAACCCTGAAAGAACTTGAGGTAATTAATCAAAAAGGTTTGAGTTGAGGCTCAAGGGAGGCCTTTCAGCCGCGGAAGATTTTGAAATACAGGGACGTGTTCCAGCGGAGGATAGACTGTCGTTCGCCTCCTGGACCAGCGATTCCCAAACTTGAGCATGCACCAGAACCACCCAGGGCTTGTTAAAAACCAGCCATGGGGCCACATGCCACAGCTTCCAATGCTTCAAGTCCAGGGTGGGTCCCGGGAATTTGCACGTATGATAGGTTTCTGCTGCTGCCGCTGTGGACAGCACACTTTCCAAGCCACCGCTTTAGGGGCTGTCATTAAAGGGCTGTCCACTGGCATAGCTTGTACATGGAGTGTCTTAGAAATGCAGATGGTGCTTGGGGAGACTGAAGCGGCAGGGTCAGAAGTTCAAAGTCATCCTCAGCTACGTAGGAAGTACAAGGCCATCCTGGGCTACCTGAGACCCTGTCTTACAAAACACGGCAGAAACAAATGCAGGACCTTAGATCCTGGCTCCAAGTTAAGGGATTTAAGTCTTTAGTGGCTGAAGAATGTTTCCAACAAAATAACTACCTCTACCTCTACAAATTAGCCAAAAGAGCTTCACAACACATTTAATTTAGAAGGTGTATTAGTCCAGGTTTTCTGGAGGAACAGAGCTGATAGGATGAAAAAAAAAAAATCAAACATTGGGTTAGTAAAAGCTTTACCCCTCAGATCACCAGGCAAGCAATAAGGCCAGTCCTCCGAACTAGTCTCTTCAGGTCAGGCCAACTCACCTGTGTATAATATGTGTAATACACACACATATATACATGTATATATATGGGATCTAATATATACACATGTGTGTGAGTGTGTGTGTGTGTGTGTGTGTGTGTGAGAGAGAGAGAGAGAGAGAGAGAGAGAGAGAGAGAGAGAGAGAGAGAGATTTAATAGTATGACTTACAGCCTGTGGTCCAGCTAATCCAACAATGACTATCTGTCAATGGAAAGTCCAAGAATCCAGTAGTTTTTTCAGTCCATGAGGCTCAAATGACTCAACTGGTCTCCATTATGTGCTGAAATCCTGAAGACATAGGCTCTACTGCCAGTGAAAGAATGGGCTTGCCAGTTAGGGTAAGACAGCGGGCAGAGAGCAAGCTTCCTTCTCCCATGTCTTTGTATGTTCCGCCAGCAGAAGGAGTGGCCCAGATTACAGGTGGATCTTCCCACCTCAAAAGATCCAGGTTAGAAGTAGATCTTCCCACTTCCAATGGTTTAGATAAGAAAAATCCCTCACAGGTGTGCCCAGTCTCTTGGGCTTTAGTTAATTCCAAATGTAGTCAAGTTGACAACAAGAACAGCCATCCCAAAAGGTATATCCCAAAAGTCCCAGTCCCCATTATAAGTAGGATTGTCGCCCCTCCAGTGATACTAGCAAATGTGCCTGAAGTTTCAAGGCTGAAGAACACTGACAACTAACTAAAAATTACCTGTTGAGTCTATTACTAAATAAGGCAAGAGAAATGACCTCAGAGCATATCAATAACCCCAGAGCCACAAGTGTAAAAAGGAAATAAATCTTTGTCCTGAGCTAACTGTGCATTGGAGATAGGGGTTATGGAAACAACTCGAGAAGCAAACTCTAAGAAGTACACTTGAACACACTGGCACAGGGAACCACTTCCTAAAAATAACCCAGCAGCACAGACACTGAGAGAAACAATTAATAAATGGGACCTCCTGAAACTGAAACGCTTCTGTAAAGCAAAGGACACGGTCAACAAGACAAAATGACAGCTGAAAATAGGGAAAGATCTTCACTAACCCCACATCAGACAGAGGTCTGATCTCCAAAATATACAAAGAACTCAAGAAATTGGTCATCAAAAGATCACATAATCCAATTTAAAAAAAAATGGAGTACAGACCTAATCAGAGAACTCTCAACAGAGAAATCTGAAATGGCTGAAAGACACTTAAGGAAATGTTCAACATCCTTAGTCATCAGAGAAATGCAAATCAAAACAACTCTGAGATTCCATCTTACATCTGAAAGAATGGCCAAGATCAAAATCACTGATGACAACTTATGCTGGAGAGGTTGTAGGGAAAAGGGAACACTTCTCCATTGCAGGTGGGAATGCAAGCTGGTACAACCCCTTTGGATGTCAGTGTAGTGATTTCTCAGAAAATTAGGAAACAACCTTCCTCAAGACCTAGCAATACCACTTTTGGGTATATATCCAAAGGATGCTCAATCATGCCACAAGGACATGCGCTCAACTATGTTCATAGCAGCTTTGTTTGTCATAACCAGAACCCAGAAACAACCTAAATGCCCCTCGACTGAAGAATGGATAAGGAAAATGTGGTACATTTACACAATGGAGTACTACACAGTAGAAAAAAATGACACTTTGAATTTTGCAGGCAAAGGGATGGAGCTAGAAAACATTATTTTGAGTGAGGTAGCCCAGACCCAGAAAGACAATTATCGCATGTACCCACATAAACATAAAGCAAAGAAAACCAGCCTACAAATCACAACCCCAGAGAACCTAGACAGCAACGTAGACTCTAAGAGAGACAGACACAGATCTAATATACATGGGAAATAGAAAAAGACAAGATCTCCTGAGTAAATTGGGAGCATGGGGACCTTGGGGGAGGGTTGGAGGGGGAGAGGAGAGTCAGGGAGGGGAGCAGAGAAAATGTAGAGCTCGATAAATATCAATTTAAAAAAAGGAAATAAAAGAAGAAGAAGCAAACTCATTCTGAAAGGTTGGGTGAAAGGAATTTGTTATCCCCACCCTTGAAGGCAACCCTGAGCGAAAATATTGAGCCAGCTTCCCTCTACCATGTAGCCTCTAATATGGCTGTGTCAAAGACAGGCTCAAGACTCTCCT